GGTACATATTCTTCGAGTCCTCTTAAAGAGGCACTTAACTAGACCTCTCTTGTATTGCAATGGACAGAAACTATGGAAATTTAAGTATTGTCCCGTCCAAGTTGGTTTCCTATACACGGACCGTCTAATAGTGCCATCATCCCTTCGACTTAAAAGTATGTCTAGAAAGGCTAATTGGCCATTACTTTCTGGTTCATGTGTCATCACAATATCATTTTGAACACCATTGAGTTTATCCAGTAATCGGTAAACATCAAAATCCTTATCACATATAATTAGAATATCGTCCATATATCTTCTATATAGAGTTGTCTCACCAATGAGGTCGCTCGTCATATTTTCCACATATGACATGAATACCTCAGCTAAGAGAGGCCCTAAAGGGCTACCCATAGCTACACCATCAACTTGTCGAAAATATTCACCATCAAATGTAAATTGAACATTAGCTGTACATAATAAAAATAAATCTTTCAAAAATGGTGACGGAATAGGTAAAAGGGGAAAGTTTTTTGAAATATAGTCACAAAGGAAATCCACCGTCTTTGTTAACGGTACATTCGTGAAGAGGGAGTTTACATCAAATGAATGCAAAGATTTATCTTTAATATTAATATCACCAAGAAAGTCAATTAGTTCAAATGTATCTTTTAAAGAGAACTTACATAGATTAGTACGAATAGGGTTTAACAGTTTTACTAACCATTTAGCTAGCTCGTGTTTGGGAGAACCACGCATAGACAAAATTGGTCGTAATGGAATATTAGGTTTATGAATTTTAGGTAATCCATATAAATTCGGGAGAACTGAACCCGAGGGTTTTAGTATATTAAACTCCTCGTTGTTTATGACGTTCATTTTAAGAAGCTTTAATAGATTGGACTTCACTCTGGATTCCAATTTTCTAACATTAATATTAGAAGAAACGTCCTGTAAGAATTTACTTTGATCACCCAGTATAGATAACATTTTGTCTTTATATTCACATTTATTGATAACGACCACCCCAGAACCTTTGTCAGGTCTGAGGATCACAATATCTGACCTACTTTGGAGGTATTTTAACGCAGCGAAATGTTTAGGAGTCAAAATACTTCTTTGTCTGACTTGAGATCCGTGAAAGTGGTGGGCAACGTCAACCAATTTCACCTTTAACCAATTTTTCCTATCCAGGGTGGTTGGGACAAGAGGGTTCAACTGATCATAAAGATTTTCAAATTGAGCATCTATCGACTGATCAGAAATCTTGGTATGTGCAACGGAGAAATTAAATCCAAGTGATAGAGCTTCTTTCTCGAATACAGAAAGCCTAACAGTTGATAAATTTGATACATATTTATTCGGGTTAAATTGAATTAAATTTCCATCATTATCATTATCATACATAAGAGATTTACTCAGCTTTTGTTTAGTAGTATGATTTGTTTTAGCAACCACAGTACTGCAAAAATTCATAAATTTAATACGACATACAAGAGAGAGAGAGAGAGAGAGAGAGATTAGATAATACGCATGATGCCTGAGTATGAAGTTCAATTAGTTTATTCAATATATCATTACATTTTTCTTTATGAGATTTCGCCAGACGCAAAAGATTAGACACATTTGGTTGTAACTTATTAGATCGTAAGAATTTATAGAGATGTCTTGGAAATATGTGTGTACTAATGCAAGTTTTGTAAAACTCCAGTTTTACCTTTTCCGATGCAATTTTTGCACTTCAGATTAGCAAGTTCATCTAAACGTTTAGTGCAAGACGAAGGGAGTCTTCTTTTCAAGAATTTAAAGCAAGACGGAGTTGATCTGAAAAATGTGATGTATTTGCGCTATACATTTCGAACAATCTGGTCACACATATACCAACGGAAATATTCTTAAGCCAGCATCAACCCATTTTCAATGTAGAATGCACACATCGATTTCGAATCAGTTTACTGATGATTTTCAGAAATGTTACAATCTCCAATCTGTCATTCGTGCTTATAGTCTCATCATGATAGACAGAACAAGGAATAAATGAAATATGTGTGGTCCGTTAAGTGTGTCCAACTAACTTTTCTACCGCATTGCTCAGGGTGATATTCAATGTTGGAGAGGAACAACTGTATTTATTCTTGTGTTGACTTTCCACTTATTATACGATACAACAGACACTGAATGAAGCAATCATTGTCACACAATCCTACTATGATGAGAGATGATTTGACTGGAGATATGGTTGACTTTCTCCAAACAAACGATAACTCATCTCGAATTCTTTACACAAGTATGAAACGAGATCAGTTAGAATGTTTAACTTCAAACACTTTAGTAACTTGTGCAACACAGCTAACTCACAACCATATTCCACCGTTTCTTTCACTCAGAATCTATTCACGTTTGAAAACAGTCGATCATTTGAAGCAGCTTTACACAACAAGAACATTTAATCAAACATGGGATGAAATTAAAAGTCCGTTTACAAATGAGAGACTTTCCCATCTCTACCACTACCTTGACTTTAACCTACAATAGTTATTTTGATCATCATCATCATCATTATGTTAGTAAGTAAACAACTGCATCCATTCATGTAATGGAATATGTACTCTAGCTAACCTTTGATTATTATTATTATTATTATTATTGTTGTTTTTGTTGTTGTTGTTGTTTTGTGAACGCCTTCACACAAACATGAACTTTTTCCCATAACACTAAATTACACATTCGACATCTGCTTTCCTCATATTGTGGTTCACACGTCCTTCCTTTATATAAACATGTTTATTGTTATTGTAGTAAATAGGGCATTCTATTCCCATCAACATCATCATCATCATCTTATTCTATTCAAACTATAATTCAGATCTGGTTTGTTAGTTATTCACTGAAAGTTCATTTACAATAACACCCTGTGAAATTCAATCAACAACATGGTCTCACATTCACTTTACAATACGAGATTCGGTTCGTTCATCGTTTTCATTACTTTCTCGTGTTCATCATTGCCTGATTTCCACATTCTCATCACTGAATGCAACTGTACAATTTCACAGTTGCCTCAATCACTCCTCATAAGTACAACACAGAACAATATCATGGGCTATTCTTATTAGGACGTCAATGAACTGGTATGATGATAAATTATCTTCAATCATCAATCATATATGTACACCATGATTTTGTGGAATCGACTGTCTACATTACTGACTGTCGGATAATCAATAATTCACTGAATGAATGATTCATGTGATTGCAGTGCACGATGAATTCACAAACTGATTCTTCGATTGAATTTGTTTTGTGTAAAGCCAGTAGAAAACACAGGTATTCTCTCTGCCCGTTCAATGACTAATACGTGTATTATACACTTCAATAATACATATTGGCTTAAATTCTCTGTGTGTTCTGCTACATTAAACTCCTTCTTCTCTAACTACCACTAATAATTACTTGGATCAACTGTGATGAGCTGGTTGAAAACTCATTATAAATGAATGAATCAAATGAATGTGTTCAGTGGATGGATGTGGTTGAGAATATTCTATAGCAAGACAGATATCAGTATGTCTGCATTCAATAAAGTTATGGGTAACGAAACAGACTACTCAATACTGATAAGTAGTAGTGTAGAGTAATATACAAAACGCTAATCAAACTACTCGAATGAACAGAATACAATGAACCTAACAGAACACATGTCAATTGCAAATATGTTCAATTCAATCGGATGATTAGTCTCACTCACATAGTATCAATGAGAATGAGGCTTTAAATTAGTCAGACGGTTACTTAATTGCAGAAGAAATATGATCAACATTAAGTGAAATGAACTTGACAAAATGTTCCACTCATCCAATTGATATGATTTCATTCAATTTCACTCTGTGGAAGGCTTCTTCAAGTTCAGGTGTTCACCTCATTCAATTCGTGGATGCAACAATTGAAGAATGTAGTATGTTTTCACTTGTCTAATGACATGATGAAAAAGTTCGACGTTAACCTAATAACACTTGTGTCATGCAAAATTACCAGTTGACTCCATTCCAGTGTATATTCACACACACCGATATCAGTAGATTGAATAGTAAATAACAAACACATTATATTTGACATAGTGAATATCAATTATGCATTACATATGTGTCTGTCAACTTTCATGACAACTATTTCAGTAGTAACTCCGCCTGTAGCTCTTCTAGAGTTACTGCCGGTCCCAAGCCCGGGTAAAGGAGGAGGGTTGGGCATGGGGTTAGCGTCCCCACACTACAGAGAACCAGATAGATCATATTTGCATCAACAAAAAATTCCGAAGGACAATGGAAGATGTGAGAACCAGGAGAGGTGCTGACGTAGCTTCAGATCACCACCTAGTTGTAGCCAATTTAAAATTGAAGCTAAAAAAGAACTGGACAAGTGGACAAACAGCACTACAAAGGTTCAATACAGCCCTCCTTCGAGATACTGTCAAACTCAATGAATTCAAGATAGCTCTCAACAACAGGTTCCAAGCCAATATGTATTATTGAAGTGTATAATACACGTATTAGTCATTGAACGGGCAGAGAGAATACCTGTGTTTTCTACTGGCTTTACACAAAACAAATTCAATCGAAGAATCAGTTTGTGAATTCATCGTGCACTGCAATCACATGAATCATTCATTCAGTGAATTATTGATTATCCGACAGTCAGTAATGTAGACAGTCGATTCCACAAAATCATGGTGTACATATATGATTGATGATTGAAGATAATTTATCATCATACCAGTTCATTGACGTCCTAATAAGAATGGCCCACGATATTGTTCTGTGTTGTACTTATGAGGAGTGATTGAGGCAACTGTGAAATTGTACAGTTGCATTCAGTGATGAGAATGTGGAAATCAGGCAATGATGAACACGAGAAAGTAATGAAAACGATGAACGAACCGAATCTCGTATTGTAAAGTGAATGTGAGACCATGTTGTTGATTGAATTTCACAGGGTGTTATTGTAAATGAACTTTCAGTGAATAACTAACAAACCAGATCTGAATTATAGTTTGAATAGAATAAGATGATGATGATGATGATGATGATGATGATGATGATGATGATGATGATGATGATGATGATGATGATGATGATGATGATGATGATGATGATATGATGATGATGATGATGATGATGATGATGATGATGATGATGATGATGATGATGATGATGATGATGATGATGATGATGATGATGATGATGATGATGATGATGTGATGATGATGATGATGATGATGATGATGATTGATGATGATGATGATGATGATGATGATGATGATGATGATGATGATGATGATGATGATGATGATGATGATGAGATGATGATGATGATGATGATGATGATGATGATGATGATGATGATGATGATGATGGATGATGATGATGATGATGATGATGATGATGATGATGATGAGATGATGATGATGATGATGATGATGATGATGATGATGATGATGATGATGATGATGATGATGATGATGATGATGATGATGAGGATGATGATGATGATGATGATGATGATGATGATGATGATGAATGATGATGATGATGATGATGATTGATGATGATGATGATGATGATGATGATGATTGATGATTGATGATGATGATGATGATGATGATGATGATGATGATGATGATGATGATGATGATGATGATGATGATGATGATGATTGATGATGATGATGATGATGATGATGATGATGATGATGATTGATGATGATGATTGATGATGATGATGATGATGATTGATGATTGATGATGATGATTGATGATGATGATTGATGATGATGATTGATGATGATGATTGATGATGATGATTGATGATGATGATTGATGATGATGATTGATGATTGATGATGATGATGATGATGATGATGATGATGATGATGATGATGATGATGATGATGATGATGATGATGATGATGATGATGATGATGATGATGATGATGATGATGATGATGATGATGATGATGATGATGATGATGATGATGATGTGATGATGATGATGATGATGATGATGATGATGATGATGATGATGATGATGATGATGATGATGATGATGATGATGATGATGATGATGATGATGATGATGATGATGATGATGATGATGATGATATGATGATGATGATGATGATGATGATGATGATGATGATGATGATGATGATGATGATGATGATGATGATGATGATGAGGATGATGATGATGATGATGATGATGATTGATGATGATGATTGATGATGATGATTGATGATGATGATGATGATGATGATGATGATGATGATGATGATGATGATGATGATGATGATGATGATGATGATGATGAGTGATGATGATGATGATGATGATGATGATGATGATGATGATGATGATGATGATGATGATGATGATGATGATGATGATGATGATGATGATGATGATGATGTGATGATGATGATGATGATGATGATGATGATGATGATGATGATGATGATGATGATGATGATGATGATGAATGATGATGATGATGATGATGATGATGATGATGATGATGATGATGATGATGATGATGATGATGATTGATGATTGATGATGATGATTGATGATTGATGATGATGATTGATGATTGATGATGATGATTGATGATTGATGATGATGATGTGATGATTGATGATGATGATGATGATGATGATGATGAGGATGATGATGATGATGATGATGATGATGATGATGATGATGATGATGATGATGATGATGATGATGATGATGATGATGATGATGATGATGATGATGATGATGATGATGATGATGATGATGATGATGATGATGATGATGATGATGATGATGATGATGATGATGGAGATGATGATGATGATGATGATGATGATGATGATGATGATGATTGATGATGATGATTGATGATGATGATGATGATGATGATGATGATTGATGATTGATGATGATGATTGATGATGATGATGATGATGATGATGATGATGATGATGATGATGATGATGATGATGATGATGATGATTGATGATGATGATTGATGATGATGATGATGATGATGATTGATGATGATGATTGATGATGATGATGATGATTGATGATGATGATGATGATGATGATGATGATGATGATGATGATGATGATGATGATGATGATGAATGATGATGATGATGATGATGATGCTGATGATGATGATGATGATGATGATGATGATGATGATGATGATGATGATGATGATGATGATGATGATGATGATGATGATGATGATGATGATGATTGATGATGATGATGATGATGATGATGATGATGATGATTGATGATGATGATTGATTGATTGATGATGATGATGATGATGATGATGATGATGATGATTGATGATGATGATTGATGATTGATGATGATGATTGATGATTGATGATGATGATTGATGATTGATGATGATGATTGATGATTGATGATGATGATTGATGATTGATTGATGATGATGATTGATGATGATGATTGATGATGATGATTGATGATTGATGATGATGATTGATGATTGATGATGATGATTGATGATGATGATGATGATGATGATGATGGATGATGATGATGATTATGATGATGATGATGATGATGATGATGATGATGATGATTGATGATGATGATTGATGATGATGATTGATGATGATGATTGATGATGATGATTGATGATGATGATTGATGATGATGATTGATGATGATGATTGATGATGATGATTGATGATGATGATGATGATGATGATTGATGATGATGATGATGATGATGATGATGATGATGATGATGATGATGATGATGATGATGATGATGATGATGATGATGATGATGATGATGATGATGATGATGATGATGATGATGATGATGATGGGAATAGAATGCCCTATTTACTACAATAACAATAAACATGTTTATATAATGGAAGGACGTGTGAACCACAATATGAGGAAAGCAGATGTCGAATGTGTAATTTAGTGTTATGGGAAAAAGTTCATGTTTGTGTGAAGGTGTTCACAAACAACAACAACAACAACAAAAACAACAATAATAATAATAATAATAATCAAAGGTTAGCTAGAGTACATATTCCATTACATGAATGGATGCAGTTGTTTACTTACTAACATAATGATGATGATGATGATCAAAATAACTATTGTAGGTTAAAGTCAAGGTAGTGGTAGAGATGGGAAAGTCTCTCATTTGTAAACGGACTTTTAATTTCATCCCATGTTTGATTAAATGTTCTTGTTGTGTAAAGCTGCTTCAAATGATCGACTGTTGTCAAACGTGAATAGATTCTGAGTGAAAGAAACGGTGGAATATGGTTGTGAGTTAGCTGTGTTGCACAAGTTACTAAAGTGTTTGAAGTTAAACATTCTAACTGATCTCGTTTCATACTTGTGTAAAGAATTCGAGATGAGTTATCGTTTGTTTGGAGAAAGTCAACCATATCTCCAGTCAAATCATCTCTCATCATAGTAGGATTGTGTGACAATGATTGCTTCATTCAGTGTCTGTTGTATCGTATAATAAGTGGAAAGTCAACACAAGAATAAATACAGTTGTTCCTCTCCAACATTGAATATCACCCTGAGCAATGCGGTAGAAAAGTTAGTTGGACACACTTAACGGACCACACATATTTCATTTATTCCTTGTTCTGTCTATCATGATGAGACTATAAGCACGAATGACAGATTGGAGATTGTAACATTTCTGAAAATCATCAGTAAACTGATTCGAAATCGATGTGTGCATTCTACATTGAAAATGGGTTGATGCTGGCTTAAGAATATTTCCGTTGGTATATGTGTGACCAGATTGTTCGAAATGTATAGCGCAAATACATCACATTTTTCAGATCAACTCCGTCTTGCTTTAAATTCTTGAAAAGAAGACTCCCTTCGTCTTGCACTAAACGTTTAGATGAACTTGCTAATCTGAAGTGCAAAAATTGCATCGGAAAAGGTAAAACTGGAGTTTTACAAAACTTGCATTAGTACACACATATTTCCAAGACATCTCTATAAATTCTTACGATCTAATAAGTTACAACCAAATGTGTCTAATCTTTTGCGTCTGGCGAAATCTCATAAAGAAAAATGTAATGATATATTGAATAAACTAATTGAACTTCATACTCAGGCATCATGCGTATTATCTAATCTCTCTCTCTCTCTCTCTCTCTCTTGTATGTCGTATTAAATTTATGAATTTTTGCAGTACTGTGGTTGCTAAAACAAATCATACTACTAAACAAAAGCTGAGTAAATCTCTTATGTATGATAATGATAATGATGGAAATTTAATTCAATTTAACCCGAATAAATATGTATCAAATTTATCAACTGTTAGGCTTTCTGTATTCGAGAAAGAAGCTCTATCACTTGGATTTAATTTCTCCGTTGCACATACCAAGATTTCTGATCAGTCGATAGATGCTCAATTTGAAAATCTTTATGATCAGTTGAACCCTCTTGTCCCAACCACCCTGGATAGGAAAAATTGGTTAAAGGTGAAATTGGTTGACGTTGCCCACCACTTTCACGGATCTCAAGTCAGACAAAGAAGTATTTTGACTCCTAAACATTTCGCTGCGTTAAAATACCTCCAAAGTAGGTCAGATATTGTGATCCTCAGACCTGACAAAGGTTCTGGGGTGGTCGTTATCAATAAATGTGAATATAAAGACAAAATGTTATCTATACTGGGTGATCAAAGTAAATTCTTACAGGACGTTTCTTCTAATATTAATGTTAGAAAATTGGAATCCAGAGTGAAGTCCAATCTATTAAAGCTTCTTAAAATGAACGTCATAAACAACGAGGAGTTTAATATACTAAAACCCTCGGGTTCAGTTCTCCCGAATTTATATGGATTACCTAAAATTCATAAACCTAATATTCCATTACGACCAATTTTGTCTATGCGTGGTTCTCCCAAACACGAGCTAGCTAAATGGTTAGTAAAACTGTTAAACCCTATTCGTACTAATCTATGTAAGTTCTCTTTAAAAGATACATTTGAACTAATTGACTTTCTTGGTGATATTAATATTAAAGATAAATCTTTGCATTCATTTGATGTAAACTCCCTCTTCACGAATGTACCGTTAACAAAGACGGTGGATTTCCTTTGTGACTATATTTCAAAAAACTTTCCCCTTTTACCTATTCCGTCACCATTTTTGAAAGATTTATTTTTATTATGTACAGCTAATGTTCAATTTACATTTGATGGTGAATATTTTCGACAAGTTGATGGTGTAGCTATGGGTAGCCCTTTAGGGCCTCTCTTAGCTGAGGTATTCATGTCATATGTGGAAAATATGACGAGCGACCTCATTGGTGAGACAACTCTATATAGAAGATATATGGACGATATTCTAATTATATGTGATAAGGATTTTGATGTTTGCCGATTACTGGATAAACTCAATGGTGTTCAAAATGATATTGTGATGACACATGAACCAGAAAGTAATGGCCAATTAGCCTTTCTAGACATACTTTTAAGTCGAAGGGATGATGGCACTATTAGACGGTCCGTGTATAGGAAACCAACTTGGACGGGACAATACTTAAATTTCCATAGTTTCTGTCCATTGCAATACAAGAGAGGTCTAGTTAAGTGCCTCTTTAAGAGGACTCGAAGAATATGTACCTGTGATATGGTGGAAAAAGACGAAAAGTTACTGACTGACACTTTAATAGCAAATGGTTATCCGCTCAAGTTTATTAATAGGTGCAAAAGTCAGTGAATGTCAAGACCTCTAATTTATTCAGTGCCAAAGAAAAAGGTTTACATCAATCTACCATATAGAGGCGAATCAAACAGTATAGTTTAAAGGCAGAGATTGAAAGCAGCCATCGAGAATACGTATTATGCTGCTCAATTGGTAGTGATTGAAAAGTCTAAGGCCATGATGTGTGTGGACACACATACATAGGGAGGAGTAATCGAACAATGCAATCAAGGGTCAATGAACATGGACCCAGATGGCTTCAAAATCAGTGTGTGTCAAATGATCCGATCAATGTAGAAGGTAGAAAACCAAGTTCATCAATAGCAAAACACATAATTGAGACGGGGCACAAAATTAACATTAATACAGCATTTAGAATGTTGTATAGAAATTGTCAAGGTCGAATTCTTAAGTTTATTGAAGCCTTAGCTATTGGTAAATTTAACCCCCCCCCTATGTGTACAAAAACAATTTGTCGTAACGTTGAATTTACCTTGGTAATCCTTAAGTCATTCTATGGCCAAGGATAACGCGACAATTTCTTATTCTTTCTCCTCCCCCCTCCTTAGTTATTTTAATTGTACTTTTATTTGTTTGTTTGACATTGATTAACCTTTATTAATTTTCATATAAAAAATGCCTTGACAAGTATATGTGTGACCAGAATGTTCGAAATGTATAGCGCAAATACATCACATTTTTCAGATCAACACCGTCTTCTCAACAATGAATTGTTATTAGTTGTGATGTAGGAAGCAGTTATGGTCACTGGATTGAGATATTCGAGAAGAACATAAGTAAGTCGGTTTAAGGCAATAATGTTTAACGAGAGTGCAACATTAAATCATGCGCAAACATCAGTTATGAGCACATCAATATGGAATGAGAACTAGACTTAATTGACGAAGTAAATCACACAGTATCCTCAATTGTTTTAACATCAACATAGAATTGACCAAAACATGGGCATGTAAACTCGACGAAAATCACTGTGCAAGCCATAATGACTATTCATAATGAAATAAATGACCAATACAGTTTGCATACATCCAACTGGTTAGAAATTATTCATTTGCAATGAGCAGCCACCCAATTGGTCAATTTGTGAATATGGGAAATTCCACCAATCAATTGATTCATCTCCACTATATAAACAGCAGCGGCAGCAGTAGTAGTTGTAGTCGAACAATAAACCATTTCACTTACATTTCAAGTTACATCAAATGATTCAATATTCATTCTTGATCACTGTATACATTTCAATTCATCTTTCATATTGTTTGCACACACAAACAAATGTGACAAATCATTCGACATTGTTATCCTCATGTGAGCAGTGCCCGAAATCTAATACAAATATGCATTGCAACTATTCACAATGGATAAGGAGATTGGGACTGCCAGAGAAGACGTTCTCACAAAACTACTTGTTGGAGTCAGTCAAAACGGAATCAGACTGTCTTACTGAATGCCGATCTCATCCACAGTGTAATCTATACACATATGAAATTGTAAGTTTCAGATGCGTTTTACATTTTCACTAAATATGTAATTGTCTAACTGATATATCACTGTATATATACATACTTCCAATTGAATGGATGATCACCGATTCATCTCAATATCAACATATTCTGATATCTTAACAGAAATATTATTGTTATTATTAGTTGTAGAGAATAAGAAACGTTTGCAATTTTCGACTGTATGGAGCGTTTCATTGAGATGTCAAGTGTCCAATTTGAACTGTTATTATTATCATCATCATTATTATTTTTAGATGGAATGCTACATCCATCAACCATTTGATGTATGAATAGCAGATAGACGTTACATTTCAAACTTCTCCTTATTTACAGCTCAAACCGATGTGGTGCAATCTGTATTCTGGACTGATTGAAAACGCTACGATAAAGATCAATTCAACCGAGTATATGACTGGAGCAAGAGTGTGTTGTTGTAAGTTGAAATCATGTTTTTCATGGTAATATTGATAATAATCATAATCATAATCATAATCATAATGAGGAATGTTTCGAATATCCAGTGTAATTGGGGTCAGTGTAATATGGATTATATGATTGAGGGTAGTTCAGTTGTATTTTATTTCGGTGAACTGAAATGACATAAATCATTTGAGAATATGTAGTTGGCATCAAGAATGAAGTAAGTGTTTCTAAGTAAACGTGATGATTAGATGTGAGCTACTGTTTACTGAAAAATCTACTGTATGTTAATTGTCCATAGAAATGTCAGTGAGTCAGCAGTCAGTCAGTCAATCAGTAAGCAACGGTTGACAGACGTTACAGAAAAGTGTTAAGTGAAGTTGAACAGTGAAATACGTTTTATCACAGTGTGTGTATTTGAAGTTCCAGTTAGCATTCTCGGAAATTCAGTTATTCTAATTAGCTTTAACTTACAAATGCCTGATAACATCACCAACCAGAATGTTGCAACTTCTCTCTTCGAAGCATCTCCTTGCACTAATATGTTTGCAAAGTTGCTTCACATATGTGATGTTCCTCGAATCACTAAACTGTACACGATTACGCATGAATAAATAAGAATCATTGTGGTAAGTGAACGGACAAGTTTACACTGTGAACTACGTACAATTCATGGTAATCTCAATCACTCATCATAATGAAAGTTCTTATTAAGTAAACTGTTTGCTGAATATCTATCTGTTGAATGTTAGATATCAGTGAATAATTTATTACAGTTTTATATTTGCGTAATTGGTTTGCTCTAGTGTAAATCATACATCTGTGTACATCGGTCACTATTTCAAACCATTTTCCCTTTCACAATCTTCTTCTTCTTCTTCCCCTTCTTCTTCTTATTATTATTCTTATTCTTACATCATTAAACCATTGTACATTCAATGTAATTTGTAAATGTTCGTGTTCATGCATCTACTGACTATTGTTTTGTAATGAACTGCACTGTACTGTACTGTACTGTACTGTAATGTAATGTAATGTAATATAATATAATAGAATATAATGTAATGTATTGTACTGTGCTGTGCTGTGCTGTGCTGTACTTCACTATGTCAGACATTCTGTAGCTAAATGTAAATAAACTATTCATTTGTTGTTTACCATGTGTTGTTCTTTGAAATTAATCACTGAATGGATGAAAAGACAATCGTTTGAATAATAGTAATTGATTAGATGATGATGATGATGATTGGATCGTGTTTTCTTTCATGGATAACATTGAATTATGTGTGAATAATGTGAAGAGAAACTGACGAAATTGTAGTTGACTGTAGAACGAGTAGGTTGACCGATGCGATTCTCTTAGTAAATGACACCAGTCGACGGATTTGTTGAAACGGAGCATTCAAACTACCGAACTTACTAGAACATCTCAAGAAAGCGATCATCATCGGAATTATTCCGTTCACTTGTTACAAGTGAATTAATACATTCATTTCATAAACTAACATATGAAGCAGTAGACAGTTTGAATCTCGTGTTTATCAGTTCATCGAAGTTCGAATGAGAAGATTAGTTACTTCGTGTTAGGTCTACCGAAGCGTCCACGTCACCCAATCGAGATATGCGCAAAACTGAATTTCGCAAAACAACCAATTGTCTAGAATAACCGTTCTTTATTGAATAATAAACGAAAATTAGTTACAAACCTCAACTTGTGAGGTGTCTGTGACGTTTAACGCGTCCTTTTGTATAAAATGAAAAAAGACTCACTGTAACAGTGACATAAAGAAGAATTACAACATAAGATAAAGCAAAGGACAGCTGGTAGTTGTGTCTGAACTTGGTAACAGTTTATCAACATGCAAAACTCGAACAAATTACAAAACAATGTGGAAACTGTTGCGTTTAAACAGTGCACAAAAGAGTGTGGATAACTGCAACAGTGATTGAGGTAAACTATTTACAATGATAAATAGAATACACCTTATAATTACAAGTAGATATTTCAGAATGTTACATGACAACATGTGTTACAACATGGGTGCGAAAATTGCTGGCAATACAACGATTTACTCAATGTAAATAAGTAGTATAAAATGATACGCAAAAGAGTGGAGGAGAGGCGAATAAGAACTATGTAAAACAAGCTTAATACCGCCCATCAATCACAGCATGTCCTTCCTCACTATCACTGATTAAATATTTAGCGTAAAGACATCCACAGACGACAATGGTACAGTTTGCTCTATCCAAAGTCACTCTGGAAAGTCTTTCTACACTCTACTACTCAATCGTCTGCTCCTTCGAATAAGCAAATTTTACGTATGTCTCTAATGATTATACATTTCGATGTTCTGATCTTCGCTTGTCTGACGAGACCATCTTTTCCTGGTTCAACACATACCACTAGACCTCTAAACCAGATATGTCGTACATAAGTATCTCAAATGATCAAGACCAGATCGCCAGCTTGCCAATCTCGCCTTACTTCTGTCCACTTTGTTCTCGTCTGCAACACTGATAAATATTTCTTTATCCAACTTAACACTTCGTGGTGAAATTTCTTCCAAATAGACTCATCTACAAATGTCAATCAATGATGTGTTGTGCTGATGAGCAATGTGAACTACATCTGCTCAACAGTAGGCTACGATTTCTAGTTAGCACACTGACAATTGAAACGTTCACTACAATACATGAACTATAGACTTATTAAACAAAAGTCGCAAAGATTTATACTACGGACTAGGCACAACTGTACAGTGTGCAGTACAGTTTACATTCAGTATGCGTATTTCAATCAATACCATTCAATGATGATGAGCAGATCATTGTGAAAATCATATCGAAACTAGACTGAACACAGTGATGATCAATTGATGAAGTTTGCAAAGTCCATATCACTGTCCACATATTTTGCAATGATAAGATGGATGAAGGAAAGTAGCAAAGAAGTGTGTTTACTCTGAAATCAATAATAGTAGAAATGAAGATAGAATGAGGAATCTCTCGAAATGAATTATCACTTCAGAATGAAATCTCAAGTCTACTACATAATTGTCATTGCTGATTTGTGCTACGTGTCCACACACAACTGTTGTCCATATCTCAGTCACTTTCATGTTATTCATACACAATTCATAAACGATTGTGACTGCAATCATCATTCGAAGAGTATGAAATGCAAAATATGTGAGTGAATCTGAATTGAAATAACCACTGGAATTATCATTTCTAATCACTGATTAGACTACTCATCACAAATAACATGAAATGAACACCGATATCAGTAGATTGAATAGTAAATAACAAACACATTATATTTGACATAGTGAATATCAATTATGCATTACATATGTGTCTGTCAACTTTCATGACAACTATTTCAGTAGTGTTATAATAGAACATACGAATCACTGGGGTACCGTACTGTACGCCTTCATGTTTTGATGTCGTCAAATTTGTAAGTGGATTGGAATTGGCTGACAGTTTTATAAAGTATAGTATATTCAACTAACAAAACTCTCATCGAAAGTATGTTCCAATGAAGGTTGTTTGGCAAGCTCACTGAAACTGAATGATTCGTGATGATTGTTTTGAAGTGGAAATACTTCAATAAGTTGTTGGATGTTACATAGTTTGACGCTGACAATTATTGGATTGGCCGCGTCAAACTGATTTACTGATCTAAAGCGTAAAATATAACTTTGTACATTGAAATATTTATTTATTCAAGAGACTATAGTAGTGAATGGTCAGTCAGTGTATTCTAGTGAATTGCATTAGAATGATGAAATGTCGACATTGAAAGGCCATCAGACAAATCAAGATTGGGTAATCAGCACGACCCGACAATATACCAGCTGAAGCACTGAAGTGAGATATCGATGGCGAAACTCTGGATGATGTAGACTCCTTCAAATACCAAGGAAGTATCATCCATGAACTAAGAGGTTCAGGTGCAGAAGTAAAGGCGAGGATTGGCAAAGCATGGGCTGCATTCCTTCAATTGGAGAATATATGGAACTCAAAACAACTGTCTGTCAACCAATATCAAAGTCACAATCTTCAATATCAACGTCAAGGCAGTTCTACTGTACGGAGCTGAAACTTGAAGAACAACAACAATCACCATCAAGAAGCTACAAGTATCTATAAACAGCTGTCTACGCAACATACTCAACATCCATTGGCCGAATACCATCAGCAACAGCCTTCTGTGGGAGAGAACGAACCAGCTTCCAGCTGAAGAGGAATTAAGGAAAAGACGATGGAAATGGATATGACATACATTACGCAAACGGTCAAACTGCATCACGATTCAAATCCTAACTTTGAATCCTGAAAGGAAGCGGAAAAGTGGAAGGCCGAAGAACACATTACGTCGGAAAATAGAAGCAGTGTTGAAACTGTGTACAATGAATATTCAGTCAGTATGACCATTGGTCCTGTTCCAACTGGTTTCACTGAATTCGGTCATCAGCAGTGAGAAGACATACACGAAATCGGTCTCTACTCACTACAATGCGGATTCAAACACTTAACGAATGATGCATTGCATACAGTGAGAAAACATGAATGCTGACACTTGTCGATGCGTTAAAGCGTTTTCAGGGTATTTGGTTCGTTCACTTGTTTAGTGTAAAGCACCTACAGATAGAGAGATTGATGTATATTTGAAGCAGTGGAACAGAGTGGAATGTGCTATATTTATTAACGAAAATACATGTGCTTTCATGTATCCACTCATTGATTCCTCCTGTTCATGATGCACATTTACAAAGTACTACTTTCATCCGAGACATTAGTGATATGCCATTTGAATTGTCGTTTACACTTTCAGAACATACAGAATCAAACACCAAACAATCTATTATTGAGAAGGAATTCCATGCTTCTCAGAAGTGCAAAGATATAAAACATTGCAGCTTGATATCTTTCATTAGTGAAAGTAAACCATATTTCGTAGGTTCAATACAGTCCACGTTGAGTGTAACTCTCAAACAACCAACTAGCCAACTGTGTACTTCACTCATGTTGAATAGTTTACTCATCAAAATGGCTGGAATCTCGAACACAAATAATGTTTCACAACAGCACAACATACAAACTGACTGATTTCAGAATAGTGTGTGTCATGTGGGTGGCAATCAACTGGACTTGATCAAGTAAAATTGTGTGAATATGCACTGGAATGAAGTGAACTGATAATTTTGCAAGACACAAGTGTTATAAAGTTAACATCAGACATCATGTCATCATGTCATTAGACTAGTGAAAACATACTACATTCTTCAATTGCTGCACCGCCGAATTGAATGAGGTGAACACCTGAACTTGAAGAAGCCTTCCACAGAGTGAAATTGAATGAAATCATATCAATTGGATGAGTGGAACATTTTGTCAAGTTCATTTCACTTAATGTTGATCATATTTCTTCTGCAATTAAGTAACCGTCTGACTAATTTAAAGCCTCATTCTCATTGATACTATGTGAGTGAGACTAATCATCCGATTGAATTGAACATATTTGCAATTGACATGTGTTCTGTTAGGTTCATTGTATTCTGTTCATTCGAGTAGTTTGATTAGCGTTTTGTATATTACTCTACACTACTACTTATCAGTATTGAGTAGTCTGTTTCGTTACCCATAACTTTATTGAATGCAGACATACTGATATCTGTCTTGCTATAGAATATTCTCAACCACATCCATCCACTGAACACATTCATTTGATTCATTCATTTATAATGAGTTTTCAACCAGCTCATCACAGTTGATCCAAGTAATTATTAGTGGTAGTTAGAGAAGAAGGAGTTTAATGTAGCAGAACACACAGAGCATTTAAGCCAATATGTATTATTGAAGTGTATAATACACGTATTAGTCATTGAACGGGCAGAGAGAATACCTGTGTTTTCTACTGGCTTTACACAAAACAAATTCAATCGAAGAATCAGTTTGTGAATTCATCGTGCACTGCAATCACATGAATCATTCATTCAGTGAATTATTGATTATCCGACAGTCAGTAATGTAGACAGTCGATTCCACAAAATCATGGTGTACATATATGATTGATGATTGAAGATAATTTATCATCATACCAC